TAGCAGAAGTGGTTTTACCATTATGGTATTGAGATTTATAATAAGAAATATATATTTGTTCTTTATCCTGGTTCCTGGCACAGAGCTCCTAAAACCCTTTGTTATTCATTACAAAATCCCTTTCCACTACACTTGAGTTTGTGCCAATAAGGTGAGTTTTGGAAATCCCCTAAAGGTGGGGACTGGCAGCTAGGGCAACCAACCTTGTGATGAGAGGGTTAGAACTTTCAGCTGCACCCTCTGACCTAGGAGGGGCTGAAAATTGTCTTAATCACCAACGGCCAAAGATGTAATCAATCACGCCTACATTATGAAGCCTCCATAAAAATCCTCCATGTGGGATTCACCGAGTTTCGAGGTTGGTGTACATCTGGAGAGCTGGGAGGATTGCGCCCCTTCCCGCATACCTTGCCCTATGTATGTTTCCCTCTGGGTATACCTTTTATAATAAACCAGCAATCTAGTAGAATAAGTTGTCTTCCTGAGTCTGTGAGCCATTCTAGCAAATGATGAAGGAGGGGGGTTCTAAGAACCTCTCAGCTATAGGTGGTTGATCAGAAATGCACGTGACAACCTGGACTTGCAGTTGGTGACTGCAGTGGGGACAGAGCCATTGGGATATATAACCTCTGTTTCCTCATCTGCAAACCCAAAACAAGGATAACAACAAACCCAACCTCATAGGATTGTGGTAATAACTAAATGTGACAATAAACATAAAGTGCCTAGCTCAGCAACGAGGATTACTATTACTGTGCTCTCCAATCAGAGCGGGCTTAGAGAATGCCTTATTACCCGACGTGAGCACAGCCTTTGTATTAGTCATCTACGGCTGGGTAACAAATTGCCTCAAAACTCACCTTATCGCACACTGTTTCTGAGGATCAGGAATCTGGACGCAGTTCAGCTGGGTGGTCTGGCTCTGGGCCTCCTGGAGGCTGCATTCAAGTGGTCAGGGAGCAAGAGTCATCCGAGGCTTGATGGAGCCTGGGGGATCCTTTTCTAGAAGGCATGGGCTCCTTACCACGGGTGCCTTTCTGTAGGACGGCCCACAACATGGAAGCAACTTTCCCAGAGCAAGTGCTCCAAGAGAGAGACGTGTGATTGCAACAAAAGCCACTGCGGCTTTTATTATACAACTTAATATCAAAAGCGACATGCTGTGTCTTCTGCCATATTCTGACTGGTGGAGCACAGTGTGAGCGGGGCTGCATGAGGGTGTGAATGCGAGGAGACAGAGATCACGGGGAGGAGAAGGGGCTCTCAGAGGCTGGCTACCACCGCCTTACAGAGTTCTCCTCAGCAATGCCGCAGACGCGCTTGTTCTGCTTTAATTTTAGATTAGAGCCAGGAGGCTTTGAAATGATTTCAGTGGTTTATAATCTACCAGCAAATGAAAGGCATCTGAGCATCGAGATAAATGTCTGAGTGGGGTCTGCCAGCCACTTGAAAAGCCTGTGGTTCCACATGCCTGAGAAATCCACAGCTGACTTCAGTAAAAATCCTGGCTATTAAATATTCCGGCTCTGCACTTCTCACAAAGTGCAGAGGACAGAAGTTGTCTCTCTCTATTTAACAAGTAAGAATGGTTAGCGGATAAGGCACGGTTTACAAATCTGTATTTATGATTGGGGTCTGGCTGAAAAGCAGAATCAACCGTACGATCTGGGAAGTCTGATTCCAGCAGGAAGTTGCTTTGAAAGAACCCCATGCTCCACTCACTCTCCAGCCGATGTCTTTGATGACCGGTTTGGACACATCAATAAAACGTTCTGTCACTTACTGTATTTTATTTTCTTGCAGCGCTTCCCACTGTTTGATGGTAACGCTAAGTGTGCCTGTTCTCACAGCAGAATCCACACTCATGATTTCCATTTGCCAAGCAGATTGCTTTTGGCTCCATGCCCTGCCCACGCATAGGTCCTGCAGGTTTGAGAGGCCCCGTTGAAAGATCCCTAAAGAAAATATGCGGCCTCGACTGACTTGGATGTGTAGCTCCAAAACTTAGAAGCAAGCGGCTGGTTAACATTATAAACATTTTGAAGTACTTGTCTTTCAGAAATGCAAAGAGCAATTGTAGGAGAAGCCCTTTGATGGCTCAGAACTTGCTTTATGTGCTTATTATTAATCGGTACACTTTCTTCCCCATTTCAGCCAAAGATTCTATACATTGCAACAATGACATAAGTAAAGACATGTGTCCACTTTAAAATCCTGCTGTTGGTGAAGTGTCCTAGTCCCTTCCCGTGCTTTCTGGGTAAAGGCTCCTTCCCTCCCTCAGCCCCGCAGCACTTTGATCTCAGAAGCAGTGCCATTTGGTTGTAAGTGTATGTGGTGCCTTTGATCTGGTACTTAGTGGGGCTTATTCTTTTATCTAAATAGTGTTTACTGGGTCTCTCTCTCTCTCTAGGAAGGACGGTTTCAATTGCTATCATTTAGGTAGTTATATAAAGTTTCTTAAGAGTGCCCAGGTCTGAATCTTAAGTTCTGAAACTCCAACAGCAATATTATAGATTTTGAAAAGCAAATTCCTATTAAAATGAGTTGCTCCTATAGATGTCAGGTTCTGTTTGCAGAAACTTGCTCTGCTTTTTAATGAGGAAGTGACTTTCGGAAGAGTAATAGACATATCTTGTACTCAGACAAAAACGATAATCTCAAAAAGTGTCTGAACTTAATGTCCAATTATCCCTCTGAAATTCACCTATTAATATATTTTTACATTACTGGATTATGCATAGTACACAGGGTATATTTAAAAAGGACTTTTTAAAAATAGTAAATATGTATCTTTAATGCTCCTCTTTAAGAGGATTTCTTGAGCATTTTATTAGGTGCATTAGCGATTTGTGTTTAAATTTCCTAGGCAGCATTTAGTTATTCATTCAATAAACTGTGCTGTAGGTCCAGAGACTTACAGATGACTAAGCCACAGACTCTGCTCTTAGGGTGCTCACAGCCTGGAGTCTGGGGGGCAGGTACTAGCAGACAATTATGTAACCGTGTGTAAAGTGCCTCGCATGGACAGCGGTCCTCGCAGCCCACCTTCGGAGTGATCAGGGAAGACTTCCTAAAAGAGGCGGCACCCAGGCCTCAGTGAGATACTGCTGACTTAGAACTCAACATCTCCTAAATTCCCAGTCAAGTCCATACTGCAAAGCCATGCCTCACGGTTTAATACAGGTGGCCTACACCGTGGGAGAGGTCTAAACCTTGAATGGCTTTGCTTACTGCCTCAAGCTACCCCAAAGTCTTCTTTGGAGAAAAACCCTGTTTTTTCACATACTACATTTTAGACCTTCAGCTTAATTCTTTATTTAGAGGTGATATTGGAAACCTCTTTGTGTTGTTTTTAATCATTCTGTTTTGTTAGGGTCCTGACACATTAGGAGGAAATCAGGGGGCAGGGCCTGATTTCAGAAAGCTAGTCTGGATTTGGGGAGATGGGGAGGAGAGTCTGGGCCTCTAGATGACACACACTTATGAGTTCCGAGTGTGCCTGGGTCAGTGCAGGGATAGTCAATGTGCTGAAAGCAAACCACAGGGGCTTGGCCTTGTCCTAGGGGTACTACCAAGCCACTGAGGCTGTGAAAATGCAACATGACCTGGGACCTTTGGTACTTTTTCTGTTCTTTCACATCAGTCACTGAGCACTACTGATGCTGAGAATCGTGCATTTTTGGTATCAGGAGCCTTAAAATTAAAGAGACCACCATCCCCATTTATTCAGTTAGGAAATAAGCCCCAAAGTTCTGGCATCCCAGGTTTCACAGTCACTGAGTGGCAGAGCCAGTGGTGCCCAGTCACCCTGTTGACCAGGACCTAGGCCTGAGCTTTTCTTTCTGGCTTATTTCCCTCTAAGTCTTGGCATAGGGTCTAGGACCTTGGACAGTTCACAGGAGCTATGGGAGAGAGGCCATCACACTCTGGAGTTCTCCAACAGGGGTGGGCTCTGGGGACAGTGCTGTTCTCGTAGGACTTCCATCTCTTTCCAGGGACTCCCAAGGTCCACACTGAGCCAGAACTGGAATAAGAGTTGTAGTTGAAAAGGAAAGAGATAGAACAGGAAAGAATCAGGATACATTGAGCAGACTTGTGGAGCCACAGGAAAGCCAGGCTGGGAAGGAGAGCAATATTACATTTGGGAGAAATTATTATTTTTTTTAATGAGTTACCTATCATGGGCTGCCTGTGGCCCCTACCTTCAGGAAGGCCAAATGTTGACCCAAACTGTGTGGATGGAAACCAATGTGGAAAGGGTGGCCCTCAAGAAAATCAAGGAATGGTTGTCAGAGGGAAGGTGGAAAGATAAGTGCTGGAAAAGCAAAAACAGTAGATGTTGACAGCAGCCCCTTTGTCCTAACCTGGAGGTAAAAAGTATAAGACTGGAATGTGTTCATAGAGTGTTACCATGTGTAAGGTCGTCTCACTGCTTTACCTATATTAACTAATTGAGGCTATCCTATTCCAGAGGGACTGCTATTATTCCCATTGACAGATGGCAGAACTTGAGTCACCCAGGGACTAACTTCCCAAGGTCTTTCTTTCAGCTAGCAAGTGCCTGGAGCCAAACAGCCTGACCCCAGAACCTCTGTCCTTAATTATTTCCCAATTTCCTTCTTTCCTTACATTTTCCCCCCCTCCAAAATAAAGGTTCGAGAAAGGCCCTTATAATGAATATAATTACCTGGCACATAAAAGTAGCCATTATGACTTTTGTGATTATTTATTAAAGTATGCAAAGCCTCTGGTGCGTAGTAGCCATTCAGTGACTATGAAATAAGACCAAAAGCAGCATTTGAAGACCAACCCAGACATTTGCATGGAATCTAGGGCTGAGAGAAAATCTGTGTGATCTTCAGGGGATTAGCAATGGGTGTGAAGGAAGAAGTACAGACAGTAAATAGATGAATAGAAATGTCTAGAGACCCACGGAGGCAGGGACAACATGGTGACATGCTGAATCCTTCAATGACTCCCCTTCTCCTCCCTTTCTCTAGTGCTGCTTAAGCAGAGCCGAGGCCAGGCGGGATGCAGCCAAAGTGGCCCTGATCAACTCCCTGTTCAATGAGCTGCCCTCTCGAAGGATCACCAAGGAGTTCATTATGGAGAGCGTGCAGGAAGCAGTGGCCTCCACCAGCGTGAGTACCGCTCTGTCCGTAAAGGTTCGTTCATTCTGGAGAATTGATAAAGGAGACATTATCACACTAGCAGTTATCTTTTTTTCTCCCTTCTTCCCCCTCATAAACACTTTTATCACACAGAGGAGAGAGAAGGAGGGGCAGAGAGCAGCTGACCTGGCTTTGGAGACCTCAGGAGCTCTGTTCCATATCTGCTCTGAGGATGAAAGGAAGCCTTTGTTCGCTGCTCTGCACATTTCCAGTGCCTCTGAGGAAGAGAAGTTAGGAAAATGATGCTTGATTTCTATGTGTGGAATTTACTCAGGAGCAGGGAGGGGCCCTCAAGTGTAAATGTAATTTATCATTTTTTTCATGGAAATTTTTAAGGAAAGAAAATATATAAGATTTGCAGGCTTCTGGATGGATTTCCTCTGGGATATTTAAAAAGCCAACATAAATATTTCAGCAGCAGTGTTAATGTTATTGCATTCAAACGTTATAAATTTGCTGCTATCTGATGTTGGCAGTCGTATGTTCAGCCTCACAAAGTCATTGCCCACTTTCTCAGGAATCCAAGACCAGGGGACATTGAAGGACAGGCCCCGGAGCTTTTTCATTGCTACTCCCCCTAACCACAATGAAGGAGAATTTCATTTCTACACATCACCCACCCACTTTGATTGCTGAAGATTAAGTGATCCGGAAGTAAAAAATATATAAACCAGGATCCATGTCTCCAGGCTGAACACCAGCATATTGTGAAAAGCTCCCATTAAAGAACCATGGCAGTAAAATATGAATGATCCATACAACTGAAGAATTCTTTCCCTCTCAGTTACATAATCTTGCCTGGTTATCATTGGAACCAGAACAAGGTCATCATTTTAAGATGTCAGTAATACCCGAAGGCAGCCACTCATATTAATGCCACTCTCAACAAAATCCTGTGCGAAGGCACAGGAATTTCTGTTTTGGAATCATTATTATTTCAGTGAGGATATAACCAGTCAACAATCTAATGGAATGCCAGATTTAAATTGATTACAAAATCCTCTTCCTTCTGAATCACGGAGAGAGTAAGGATTTTATGCCAAATCAACGGGAGACTTGGTTGTGGAATACATACATGAAGTGTTAGGCCAGTAGAAGGATCACTGTAGGGCCATGATATTAATTTGTGATCACCCAAATGAGGGGACGGAGCTTCCATAATACTTTCCTTTTCTGCTTCCTTCCCCAGGGCACCTTGGAGGACGCTGACGACCCCAGCACCAGCATCGGCGCCTACCACTACATGCTGGAGTCCAATATGGGGAAGACCATGCTGGAATTTCAGGTGCCTGACTTCCTGTCACTTATTTATTTTGCTACACAATCTAAAAGCCTGGGAGAATGCCACTCTTATCATGAACACCCTCTGTCTCTCAGGTCTACTTTTTAAATTTGTTTTGGTCATTTTCATTTAATCCTCTTAGAACTTAGCATGGTAGCTCCATCTTAGCCACACCTTAATGGGTTAAAATAAACACGCAAACAAGGCACAATTTTTGCTTTCTTAAAGGGAACTAAAAAATCTAAGAAATAGGGAATACAACCAATTTACAACTATATCATTTTACCAACTTTTCAACACAATGTCCCCCCTTCAACCAAAATAAGCAGTTTGAAGTGTTGGTTGTGACCATTTGGTTCTTAATTTTCAGAAGTCATAGATGCAGATGCCTGTAATGTATATTAAACAATGTTGCCCTCAGTTCTAGTATTTTTATTAAAGGAATCTGACACCTCCTATCATTTAATTAAAAAATTAGCAAGCTATAATCCTTTTCATCCACTGCAGACAGCCATAATAGACTTGAGGAACTACATTACCTATTATTTCTAAATTAAATAATATGTCAATAACAACAACAATAAGGACTATAGCTAACACTTGTTGGATACTTATTGTGTCTGGCACTGTGCTAAACATATAACAAATATCGTCATAATTTAACCTTCAAAATCTGCATATAGGTATGTATTATCTCCACATTATCACTGAAGGAAGTGTACCATAGAGCTTAGCACATGGCAAAGCCAAGGTTCAGACCCAGGCCATCTGATTTCTGAGCTCAGGCCCTTAACTATTATCCTATATTGGGCTGGACAGGTGAAAATTCACTTGTTAGACATGAAGAGTTTGCCCTCTAAAAACCTAAACTTGAATGCAGTTAAATATCTACATACATGCATAGCTAGTGGGAATCAATATGCAATGTCATAATGAAGAGTTTTTGCTCCTAGTATTTCTTTCTTTCCTTTTCTTTTCTTTTTTTTTCCTTTTAGATTAGATCCTAAGAAGCACTCAAAGATATAAAGTTTTATGGACAAATATGTTCCTCATGAAATAATTTAAAGCAGTGTTACAGCTCAGCCTGCAATCACTAACTTTCAAATACCTTTTTTGGAACCTTTCAGCTCTTTTCCAAACTACAATAATATAGTCACTGCCCAAGTGGATGTGTCCTTCCTGCACATTAAAAAAAATAATAAACAATATTTCCTCATCAGTCCCTAGTTTGATAAAGCAAAAATACTCTTTCTTCAAGTTGTCCTAGGAAGATCTCATTCATCCAGTTTTCTCCTTAAAGGGCCATGGGCTCATGGACCTTTGATGTTGCTTTCCTTGGTTTGGAAGAGACCAGGTATCTTTAAAGACTACCCTGTGGAGCAGACCAAGGCACACATCAACTCATTGGTTCTGAGCCCAGGCTTTGGAGAGGGCTGGTTCCTTTCAGCCTGGCTGGTCTTCTCACCTCTGAATCTGCTTCCTCACTTGCATATAAATCAGGGAGCATAATAGCAGTGGCATTTCCTCATAGTACCATTATGAAGATTAAATGGAACCATGTAGAAAGAGTCCAGAACAGTTCCTGGCATGTTGTAAATGCTCAATGAAGATTAACAAACCTTATTATATAACTTTCTGAAGAAGGACTTCTTTATGCCTGAGGCTCCTGGGTAGATCCCCTTGACAATTTTATATAAACTAAAGGTTTCAGGTGAGGACAGGGAGCTTCCCTGCATGAACATTTCAGGATCCTTGCTGTAAAATAAAAGGGTGGGACTGTAAAGGGTACTATCCTTACCCCCAGTAACAATCTAAAGTCAAACAGAAAAAAAATAATAAAGGGAGGATCATAACACAGGAGAGAGAACACAAACTTTTAAAGACTCGTATGTGAAGCTGGTTCTACCACTTTCCACCTGTGAACTGAACTATTGTGAGGTTCAGCTTTCCATGTGTAAAATAAGAATTATCAATATAATGCCCATTGTATGGGATTTTTGTGGGACTTACATAATATGACATTTATCAAGTGTCTAGCATAGTGACTTTCTCAAAGAACCTCATTTTTATTTTTAAAAAATATATTTTATTGATTTTTTACAGAGAGGAAGAGAGGGGGATAGAGAGTCAGAAATATCGATGAGAGAGAATCATCAATCAGCTGCCTCCTACACACCCCCCCACTGAGGCACATGCCCCGGACTGGAATCGAACCTGGGACCCCTCAGTCCGCAGGCTGACGCTCTATCCACTGAGCCAAACAGGTTTCAGCAAAGAACCTCATTTTTAAAAGTTTCTTCCTTCTTAACCCAGACCAAAAAATATATAGAATGAATGTTGCCTGCCTCAGTACTAAGTAGCTTGTATATGATTTAATATCTATTTTCAGAAAATCAAGAATGATTTTTTTTCCATTTTAAAAGAACATTTATTGCCCCCATATTAAATGGGACACATTGAAGGAATGTACCACCTCTGCCTGTGGACAGTTCCCTGCACTGTACCGCTGGGTACACCCTATAGCTCACTAGTCTTGTACAATTATTCACCCTTCTGTAATGGAATAGCAGGCTTGTGCAGAAGCTCAGAATATTCTCAGACAGTTGTGGTTAGCAGAGCCAAAGCCACAGCCAATGGAGAATCTGCCTCATTTTAAACGAGCGTTGAGGTGACCTTGTCACTTTCTGTGGAGGTGCTGGTCTCCTCTGGCGTGATGGGCTCTTCCAAATAATCACCAGTGACATCACTGTGGCCTCCTCAGTGGCTTCTCCACAGAGCTTGAGTGTTTGATTCCATGTCATAGACAATTCCCAAACCTGTGTGTTCTCTAAGTAATCCTCAGTGGTCCACTCTGCACCGCCAGTGAGGTCCAGGGACGGAGGCGACTCTGGGTCAGTAGTTGGTATTAGTTCAGCCTGTAATCTTGAGTCACTGGAAATGTCTGTCTGAGTCAACGTCCACGTGTGGGAGTATGGAGGGAAGAAGCAGGCAGAGAGGATGCGGGCTTCTTGATCCTGGTGTGGGCTGGGAGGGGCAGAGAGGGCAGGAGGCTGGGGAAGGTGAGGAGGCAGGTGGCATGCCCTCAGTGCCAAGAATGATTTTTGAGTGCCATTGAGGTAGTCTGCCAAAGATGGGAGGCAAGATTTTCCTTTTCAATCATTAAAATTCCATCCAAGTACTATGAAAGGCTACACTAACCACCTTTCAATAATACTTCAATTGCCTTGGTATAGGCTGTGTTTCTTGTGTGGTCTATGTAGTAAGACATTTAACTATGTGAAATAATTACAATCATGCTGGAAATGCTTCATAAATTCACAGAGGGGAGGCTGGGGACAGGATGGGATACAGAGGGAGGAAGAGGAAGATGTGAGGACAGGGAAAATCCAAAATCCCTCTCCCCGGTAGGGATGCTGGCAACCCAGGAGGGGGGCCTGGAGCACAGACATCCCTTTCTTTCCCACCAGCTCCATCGCCTGCAGGGCCTGCACACTCCTTGGTGGTCAGGCTTAAATGCATCGGCTTGTTTCTGCACATGATGGGAACTGACCACAGCCGACCCAGCAGTCAGTACCCCTGGTGGGTAATAGATGTGTGCTTACCCACAGATGACTGCCCCGAATAAAAACAAGGCTGGTGTCTCCTGACTGCCCGCAGGCTTTCCCGGGGCGCTGTCAGGGAGGCAGGGCGCAGGGGAAACCTGATAGGCTTCTGCTTACCTTCACTCGGGAGGGAAGCCTGGATGCCTGTGTTGAGGTAGCCTTGCCTTAGAGAAAACTGCCTGGTGTGTGGGGGGAGGGATGGTAACAGAACTAGCCACTGGGTCTTGTCAAGGTCAGGTTCGAGGCAGACTTTGACTGACGCCGGTTAATATATTTATTCTGCAGCCTAATGCAATCCCAGGACGAGTTGTTTATTTACATCTTTGCTAAATTCTCCAGGTTGCTTTTTAAAACCTCATCTCATAAACAAATTTCCTTTTAAATCCATTCTCTTGGGTGGGGAGATGGTGCCCACCTGTTTTTCAAGTTCTCCATTTATAGTGTTTGTTTTTCTTATTTCTGATGAATCGCAGAGCCAAGCCAGTCTCCCAGACGTAGTTCCAGAGAGAAACAGTGTGCATTTTCCCCCATCCCCCTCCCCCCCTCCCCGCTGAAGGGCCTGTGTTTCTATCAGGAAGCACTGTGAGGACAGAGCCCAGTTGTAGTTGGTTAAAAAGGAATGAATGACAAAATGAACCAAGAAAGCTGTAAATTTTCCTTGAAGAGAAAAAACACACACACATAAGGCTTGATTTTTTTCCACATTATTTTAATTTTACTTTGCTGATCAGGACTAACTACATAATTTATGGGACCCATGGCAAAATGAAAATGCAGGGCCTTTTGTTAAAAAACTACTAAGAATTTCAAGGCAGTGGGTCATTACACCAAGCTCAAGGTCCTAGGTGACTGCACAGGTCACAAGCTCACAAAGCTGGCCTTAACCATGAGACAGACCCATGAGAAGGGTGAAACTAGGTGAGAGAAGAGTTAGGCACTCATTTCAGGCATTTAAAGGAGTGTCAAAAAACTCAGTAATCAAGACGAGTAGTAGTATAACACAACGTTGCATAAAGTCAACACGTGCAAATATTCATGACAAACAAAATATCAAAATTTTAAGTAATGACAGAATTTTAAATAAAAGACCCTGAACTTGCATGACTCATCTTAAACTTGCTTCATTCACCTAACCCTAGTCCCAACCCAACCTTTAGGCCAGCTGCTTGTTTATCTCTCAGGATGCCCAGACTCCCCAGGTGTCTAGATCAGTCTACAGAACAGATAACCACCCCAGGAAAAATCCTTTGAGGAACAGGACAGAAAGTTCATTGAACAGGCTTCCCTTAAAGGGACAGACCTTCGACAGGTAGAAAACAAGTCTGGAAGACCAGGCAGCAAGGAATCCTGGTGATAAGAGGGAGCCGCCCTCTCTTAGCCAGTGTGCAGTATGCCAGGATTTCCGATGGAATGAATCAATGGGAGGCACACAAGGATTTCCTGGGTTGAGCCTAGGGCTCATGCAGCTTCAGGAAGATCTGAAGATAATGAGGGGAAATAAAGAATTGGGACTATGTGCATAATGATAGCAAGATTCATATGTCTAAGAGGAGGGCAAGACTTAGGTGGAAACATAGTGGAAGAAGGCAGAAAGAAGGTCATCTCCCCTAAAGGACTTTAGAAACAAGAGCAACACTTGAGGGAGAGGAGCTTGTGTTGTTTGAAGAGAAAAAAAATGCTCGGTGATGGATCAGACATTTAGGTAAACCAGAGCAGGAGAGGAGGATGACCCTCGTCCTGCAGGCAGAAACAGTTCAAGCCTGAGGGCTTTTGAGAGATGTAGGTTGCCAAGGTACGTGAGAAAGTCTCTGGTTCTGTTTGCAGCAGAATTTGTGGGTTTGAAAGTCTTAGGGGGATTGCCATGTGGAATGGCAAGAATTTATTGGAAAAGGGGGTTTGTGAATAGATAAAAACGAGAGCCTGGTAGGCCTTGGAGGAAGAATGTGTTATCAAGGCAACAGTTGTCAGAACATGGAATAAGATCCCTGTTAGCAATAGGTTATTTCGCAAACTGTATTACAGAGAGTAAGGACAGTGCCAGCAGGGCTAGTGGAAGCCACAGAATAAACTTGGCGTATCTTCTGGATTATCAACTTTACATGAAGACTGGGGGTGAGGAGTGCAGGTGGCATTTATATTCTTTAAAATAAATAAATAAATATATAACTGGCCAAGTAGTTTTGGTTAAAGCATCGTTCCAATACACCAAGGTTGTGGGTTTGATCCTTGGTCAGGACACATACAAGAATCAACCATTGAGTGCATAAGTAAGTGACAACAAATAGATGTTTCTCGCTCTCTCTCTCAATAAAAGATATACATAAACAATAGAATATAAAATTTAAGTGGAGAGTTAGGTTAAAACATAAAACAAAATGTCTTATTAGTAAATATTAGCCCTCCCGTAATACCACAGAGACTGTTTCATATCAGTGCACGGAGTGTTCCTGTTCGTCTGTATGGCTGTGAACTATCAGTGAGTAGATTTGAAGGTAAGTTGGGAAGAGCTGCACAAATCCATCTTCCTCAGTTGCTTGGGTTTCTTTGATAAAAAGCACAGTGGTGAACGAGGTTAGGCAACACTTGGTTGTGGTTATAGAACAGACCACTCTCACTTTTCCAAATTAGCATGGTGATGTGACAGAGTGAACATCTGGAGGGGGGCAGGAAGAGGCGGAGGCGGGCAGGCACGAGAGGAGCAGCCTCTTTGGCACGGGACCCAGGGCCCTGGGCAGGCGGTGGGCTCTGTGTTTGGGGCAGGAGTGATTCTGCTAGTTTCCACGTCGGATCTTAATGAACGAAAACAGATAGTTTGTTTTTACTGAGGTCTCTGGGGGATGCTTACTGTGCAGAAGAACAAAATCCCAAACTGGATCCCAAACTGAAAAACATTACATTCTATGGCAATTTCCAACATAATAATAGTGCTATTTGCTCTTCTGCTTGCCTTATAGCTTTAAAATTTACCCAATAATCCTATAATGTGTGAAATCCCAGAATGACTTTGTGCCTCCTGATTTTCATAATGAAACCTTCTTTATTATGAGGTAAAGACAGTGAAAGTCAGCTTTTTCGAATGGGCAGTTGGACATCTGTCTAAATGTAAGGTTTTCATAACTGGTTTTCATGACCAGGAAGTTCTTTGATTGTGTTGTTATTTCCTGATGGTTTTAATCCACAATAAATGTGTCTCTGACCAAAAAGAAAAGAAATGCAGATAGCTTCAGTGGACGACTGCCAGCTCTAATCACTTTAGAGAAATAACATCATCAGCACGTTCATTCCTTTTAGCTTGCCCTTGATACCGTGCAGGGCAAGGATGAAGCTCATAGAAAGTGCAATGCTGTGCTCAGCACTGGCCATTGGAAACTGTGGGTATAATTTTTTAATCTTTATTGCTAAAAGCATCGATCCCATCCAGCCACCCCCACCTCCCAGCCCAGGTCCTCACCATGATGGGTGTATTTTAATGTCAGTTCCACTGTAGTATTCATGTTTTAAGGAATTTTCTTGACTGAATTTATAAGTTTGGGAGTATTTTTACAGTATTTATAGTTTGCCTTTTATATGTTTTCTATTTATTTTTTTAGTCCTGATTTTTTTAAATTTAATTTTTTCTTTAATATGTAATGTTGTCACATGATTCAAAACTCAAAAGGTGCAGAAGGATGTCAGAGGAAGTTTTCCCTCTCATTCCTGTCCCCAGGCATCCCAGTTCTCTCCCAGGGGGGCAACTAATGTTACCTGATTCTTCGGTATCTTGTCAGAACTCTTTTAGGCATTTATAAGCAAGTATTTATGGAGATTTCCTATTCTATTTTTATCAACCAGTAGCACACAGTATACTGGTTGTGCACTTTGCTTTTATTTTATTTTAACATCATACATCACAGAGATTCTTCACATTAGAACCTAGAGAACCTCCCCATCCTTTCTTTCTGACTGCACCGCATTCCGTGGTGTGGATGTGTTGTAGGGGAGGAAAAGCAATTTTCCCTGAACACTTCTGGGTTCTTAGCTAAGACTCCTCTAATATAAGACGGATTAACAAAAGAAAAAACATGTTTATTGACATGTATGCCCCTACATGAAAAAGACATGGGAAAAATGAATACATCCTTTTAGGATTCAGGATTAAATACCATCATAATAGAGAAAGAGGAAGGGGATGTAGGCTTTTTAGGGAAAGTGGGTAACTTTAAAGAAAGATAAACGGGCACTTAGAAGAATAAATGTGACAAAGCCTGTGTGGGTGTGGTGTGGACTTCCAGTTTCCTCTTCTGTAATAAGTCCACCTTCCCAGGTTAGTGCAACGCCCTGGGAGGGGATTTATGACAACCAGGTACCTTTTGGAGGATGTGCCTTAGACAGGTAAGAAGAGCTCAGAGAGACCCTCTCTCTACGTTTGCTGTTTTTTTAAGTGCCTTCAGCTCAAAATCATCAATGTACCAAAGTGGCATACTGTGTGGTGTCATGTCCTAAATTCATATTTTGGGTGGCATATTCTGCTGCCCTTCAATACTTGATTAAGCCATTCATTTAAAAATGAACATTTGAGATATTTCCAGTCTCAGGCCATTTCAAAAATTGCAACACCTATAAATTATTCTCAGATGCGCTGGCCTAATGTAGATAATTTTTAATGTTGAAAGATATTTTTACATTATTAAGCCATTTTGTTGTGCAAATATGGATGTAGCAGGAAAGGGAAGGAAGAATGCTCCAGAGGGTCCTGACTCTCTTTTGTGTCCTGTTTCCCTGGCAGAGTTGGGGGTCAGAGTCACGCCCTGCTCAGCTCTCACTGAGGCACTTTTTTCTGCTTGGAGACTAATGACAGGCGTTTGGGTTTTGCAGGAGCTGATGACCATTTTCCAACTACTGCACTGGAACGGGAGCCTAAAAGCCCTTCGCGAAACGAAGTGTTCCCGGCAGGTGAGGTTTTACCGCCCAGGATGGCCTCGTGCTGTACAGACAGGTCAGATGGTCATGATGCCTCCAGGAGGTTTCCTTTATTTGGATTCCTGTTAAATTTGATGCTTGTGTTTATTGAGTAAGAGCAGAGGACACATGAATAAGGACACATAACTATCCTATATAATAAAAGTAATATGCAAATTGACCCTAATGGCAGAATGACCACTCAACCAGTCACTGTGAGGCTCACTGACCACCTTTTGGTCTATTTCCCCGGGCCGGCAGGCTTCGATCGCCCGATGGCGAATGTGAAACCGGGGGTGGGTGGCAGCAGGGGGTGGGGCCGGCTGTGGGAAGCTGGGGAAGATGGCCCTGGTCGCAGGCCAGGCCTAGAGACTATACCCGCACATAAATTTTATGTGCCAGGCCTCTAGTGTGTACATATATAACTGTCCAGTTGAGTCAGGCACTGACCAAATATGCATACTGAGAACATTGACTAGGCATAGGACTGATTTAGATACTTGTACTGAATGACGCCAAAGGAAGGGATCACTGAGACAGACTTGACTTCTAAGGCAAATTGTGGAATTCACTCCATGTTCCTGCCCTCCTGTTAGAATGTGCGCCCTCCTCCGCTCGCTCTGCCGTGCGGAAGGAAACCTGAGCGTGCACCCCGTGGGGACCTCCGCAGTGAGGGGAGGTAAAGTTGACGATAGCAGGACTTTTCTCACAGCCACCAAAAGTCCCCAACGGGCAACAGAAATGCTTGTGAAAGTGGGCAAGCTGGCATCCAATCACCCCAACGTTTTTGGTTTGGAAGTTTCTTCTTTATCTTTAGAGACAGGGTCTCACTATTTCTTTGCTACCTATGAGAAGCACCCTCCCCCCCCCCCCCTTTTTTTAAAAGGCAAATGCAAACTCCTTCCTGTGTACTTAATGGTTTTCACTCACTATCCTCCAAGATTTATCCTTCCTTTATCCACCGTTAGACTTTGAAAGATGGGAGTTTATTTTTAAGAGTTTGCTAACAGGAACTTGCACGAGGAACAAAGCCTCCACTAGTCAGCACGATGAGGTGATGTAAGCATTACCATGCACTGTGGCCCCAGGAGCTTTTAGTTGTTCTTTGCGTAGAAAGTCTGGCTTTCAAAATGTCAAGGATGGAAAAGAAATGAGTAGCTGACAATGGCTTTGGTTATTTTTCCTTTTCCTTTGATTTTTACAAAAGGCCTTTGAAATATCCGGGGTTCGTTATAAACACTTTTCCATGATTGTTTTTAATTTGTTAAGGTCATAAATAAATACCATATGTTCCTGAAAATAAAAATAAGCAATGCATTCACTCCACGAGATCTTCTTAAAGTGTCTCCATCAAACCTGCACAGGATGTTACAATGCACTGGCAAATTTTTCACACGAGAATTGGCGGTTAGTGACGAACTTTTAGTTGTTTACAGACGTAAGAGACCATGTCCATGAAGGTGCCATTAGGATATCAATAATGATAATGCCTACATTCCATAATACATTTTAAAAGTTATTACCGTCGTTTCTGTAAGCGATTTAGACCGTCATCTTCCTTATGCCAACAGCACACTTTCTACCGAGATCAGACCTCTATGTTGTGAATAGTATTGAGTTTTCCTGGTGGTAGTGTTTTGACTTAACCTGGAGTAACTTTGCTTTGCTGCACCAGCTTTTCTGTCAGAAGTATGGCATGGGACTTGGCTATAGTTTGTGAACATCAAAGAGGCCTAGTGGCTGGTAAGACCTTCGTGGATTAGGAGGAGGGGTGGAGGCAGAGGAAAAGAGGCATCGGGAGGCCACGCACCCAGGTGCCTTTGGTGCTCTGTACTCATACTCAGGATCTTGTCTCTGGCCCCCAGGAAGTCATCTCCTACTACTCCCAGTATTCACTGGATGAAAAGATGCGCAGCCACATGGCCCTGGACTGGATCATGAAGGAGCGGGAGTCACCAGGAATCCTGTCTCAAGAGCTACGAATGGCTCTGAGGGAGTTGGAGGAAGCCAGGAAAGCGGGACAAGAACTACGGTTTTACAAAGAGAAGAAAGAAATCCTGAGTTTAGCCCTGACTCAGATCTACAGCGACCCTGACACTTCCTCACCCAGTGATGACCAGCTGAGCCTCACGGCCCTCTGTGGCTATCACTAGCCAGGCCAGCTTCCAAGTACCAGAGGCTGGCTGAGGCCAGACTCTAAAATCAGGAAGCTGACTGAAGAAGGTTATCAGAGGCTTTAGTCCCCATAGTTGATACCTGAAGGCTGTACTAATCCTCTCCACCCATTCCCTTCAGAGAATCTGAGAGCAGTCAGGCCCTTTTAGGATACAGTGTTTTTCATCACACTCACAGTAGTTCTACCTCAGAAGGAAAGGATGGAGACAGGTGGTTTGAAAAATATTTGCCAAGCCCCTCCAACCTAAGGGCTGGTTGACATGTGACTTGCTAGATTATATATGTTGTTTCAAAGAATGGGTCAGGGTAGCATCCCCCCAAAGAACATCAGCCAGGACTGGGGGTGAGAGAAAGCATGATAGCAATTTTCATTAAATAAAAAACATGGATTGGAATTAAATAAAAAATATGGATTTTTTTTTAAACTTGGTACTCTAAAAGAGTGTACACTCTACTGGCTATAATCCAAAACCACAAGGGGGATTTTTATCTAGACATCTCACTATCGAAGATCTTAAAATGATAATACCCTGTTTCCCCAAAAATAAGACAGTGTCTTATATTAATTTTTGCTCCCAAAGATGCGCTGGGTCTTATTTTCAGGGGATGTCTTATTTTTCCATGAAGAAGAATATGGTACACATTTATCGTAAAATGAAAATAAAGAAAATGTATTACCTGTATACAGTACGGTAGTTGTCAACACAAACCAGACAAACTGTGAATCCTACAGTATCAAGAATTTACTCATTTATTCAATGACAATCATGTCATCATCTTCTGGAACATCATCATAACAATCCAATTCCTGAATTTCCTGGTGAATTTCTTGTGACTCCATTTCTTTCAGAATCAGTGGACCAAATCTCTCATGTTTAGCCTAGGGGGGGGCCTTATTTTTGGGGGAATGCCTTATATTTCACTCAGAAAGAAACCTGTAAGTAGGTCTTATTTTCGGAGGATATCTTATTTTTGGGGAAACACGGTAGTATAAAACTACTAAAAAAATTAATGTGGTTTAAAATGCTCTTGTGATAATTTTTTAAAAATCCACACTCGTTCATATGGGGATAAATATCACTTACAATAGAACTCTCAAGAAGAATTCTTCAAGAATCAATATTCAATTTTTATGAGTTTTACAATCAGTCATGTTCATTTATAATTTGCAAATAGATAACTTGAATTGATTTGTTTTTATTTTTGCTGCCACAGTCATATATCAATAATGGAGAAAGTTATTGGCATTTAAAGGCTGAAACATTTTGGAGAAATCATTAGCATTTAATGATGTTTGCTCTGATTAGTTTCTCATGCTTTAGAGAGAAATCTTTAGTGGCCTTTGTTGTTGTTCAAGAACATAAGCCACCGGTAGCTCAATTTATTGTCATTTTTAAGTTTAAATGGCTGGACTCTTCTTTAAAGAAGGTTGAGACATTGCCACTTCTCTTTGAAAAGGGCTTGGATCAGACAACCGGTTAGAAAACCAAAAACAAATACACACTAAATTTAGGTGGTCACTCAAATTTAAAAATGACAGCAGTGACAATTTTAATCAGGTAGGTATTTCCATATCTGACATGAAAAGGATTACCTTGCATTGAGTCCAATAATTCAAAAGAAAACTATTTTCTCAATTTTAAATAAAATTTCTTTTTCTTCTTATTTAGACAAATGCAAACTAACTTTCCTGAAAGCTAAAACTATTGTTATTACTTTAAGCTTACAAAAAACATGATACTTTAGCTTTATATCTATACATACAAAAGTATTTAGCACTCCTTAAATCCCCATGAGAATTACTATATGCTGGTAATATATTTTGAAATTAGTCATATTAATAAAAATTAACTTCACATATTATATTTCCCACACTAGGGGAAAATTTACCAACATATCCCCCTACACTAATGTTTTGAAAAGTTGAGACTATATAATAGTATATAAATTTTATTTAAAAATTATTGTTTTAACAAAAATTGCATTCCTCCCCATAATGAGGCAAAATGTCACTCACCTAGAAGAAAACTTTAGAGTTAGTGTTTGCATGTTGGCTATATTTTGAGGAAATTTTTTCTAATGTAATTTTTTATCAAATCATCACTCTACCATTTGAGAAAAGCCACAATTTCAATGTTGAGTGCAATTGAAGAGAGGCCCACCTTTACTGCATTTGCAGCCTTTGACAATGACCCCCTCAAGCTGACACTAATTAGATGCAGGAACAGGAATCAACTAGGAAAATATCAAATTTACTTTCTGCCTATAATCAGAAAACTGCATCCACTATCAGTTTTTCTGGGCTAATCAACACTGACCACTCTTCCTTGAATGGGATGGAAGCTAAGCAAAAGAAATAAGACTTAGGTTCCCTGCTACTGCTGGTCCCTCCAATGCTTATTTATAGCAAATCATCTTGAGCTAAGACATAATGGCTGTCAGTACCTCACAGAAACATCTGTAATCTTGGCCCAGAGAAGAGCAGAGCTGAAGAGCAACATGTAATATTATTTTTCCTTGTCTACATCCTGTTATCCATAGCACATTGAAGGGGATCAGAGTGAAGGGTGCTCAATTTAAGTATATGAAGTGCTGAGTCCTAACCTTTTGTAGTTATAGACCCTTTGAAAATCTAATAAAAGATATGGGCCTTCTGGGAAAAACAGAACTAAGTATATACATTTAAAATTAGTTTCAGAGAGTATGTGAACCTCCCCAAATTTCCATAGATTTCTTTTTCCCAAAAGCCCCAATTTACAACTCAATTTGAGCAGGTGCTCACAATCTCATAAACCTTTCAGCCAAAATCAAACCTAGCTCAGACATCCCCCTGTGAAGCCTATTTCTAAGATAAATGCCATCATCCTTAAATATAAAGATGCACTGTATTTAGACAAGAGATAAGTTTAATTTTCACAAAATCCAAACACACCAGATTGTTAAACTAGCTGCTAGTGTTAGTTTATCAGAATAGAAGAAAATTTAATAAAGTCATTGTTCCTCTAGTGATCAGAATTTTTTTTTTGTAATATATTTTATTGATTTTGTACAGAGAGGAAGGGAGAGAGATAGCAAGTTAGAAACATCGATGAGAGAGAGTCATCTATCAGCTGCCTCTTGCACACCCCCCACTGGGGTTGTGCCCGCAACCATGGTACATGCCCTTGACTGGAATCGAACCCGGGACCTTTCAGTCCCCAAACCAACGCTCTGTTAACTGAGCCAAACCAGCCTTGGCTAGTGATCAGAATTTAGATGGCCATTTGTTCTAAAGCTATAGTCCACTGATAACATTTGCCGTTAAAATCATTCACCTATTTCTAGCAATAGATATTCTTACATCAACATATATCTACATCAACCATGAGTTTGATCAACTAGGTCTCAGGAAAAAGAGAAAGAAAGCATAAACACTTCCGTTTCTTTAGGGAAAGCTTTTAAAGCTTACAGGTGTTGTAAGTGACTTTATCTCTGAAATACTTCAGAGAATTATGGCTTATACCATACTATGCCTTTCTTTCTTGCTAAAGGACAAAGGAAGTCATACTAAGAATATTTGCACTATCCTTGACTATGTTCTCAGATAACCACTATTCCAAATACTACCTCTTATATATTGTTGATTTTTTTGTTTGTTTGTTTTGCCTTGAAGAAATGCAAATATCAAGAATTCTTCTATGGTGTCCATCATGTTAAAGAGGCAATATAAGATTGTTTTTAGCCAGGGCTCTAGGAAAACAAAAACGAGAACCCTACCACAGTGGTTCTCGTCTTGAGCTGCAAGTTAGAAATACCTAAGAAGCTTTTAAAAAACCCTAAATGTCCAGGCCGTACCCAATCCAATGAAACCAGACTCTCTGGAAGGGGGGGTGCAGGCATCAGTATTTTTAAAGCTCCCCAGGGGGTTCTAATGTGCAGTAATGGTTGAACCAATGTTCTACCCAGGAAGTGCTGGCTCAGAGGTCAGTGGCCGCACTAGTGGGAGCTATTACTTACTTGGCTTTGGCCCAAACTCAAATGTTGGGCTCTTCTGAGCCAGGTAAGAGCAAATCCTTTTGCTTGGTTAAGAGACTCCTGGAGCCCAAAACTAAAGCAGGGCAAGTGCATACACACACACACACACACACACACACACACACACACACACTTTATTTTTGCAGGTAAACCAGATTCTTCCCTAGGGTCCAGCTTTCTTTCTCAAATATGATACATGAACTAACTGCACCAGAATCAGGGTCCAAGTTTAAAAATACAAGTTCCTGGGCACATACTCCAGACCTGCTGACCAAATTCCTGGGGAGGGTCTGGAATCTTTACCCCCTCACCAGGTGTTTCTGATCAGATTTAAATTTGAGCTCTTGTGGCCTAAAGCTACCTAGCATTTTCTATACCAGCCAGCACCCTCCCACCCGCCCTTCTGACATAACTAGCCTCTTGGGGGTGTGGTCACAGGGAAGGAGTAAGAGGGGGGGGGGTGTTGTTGCCTCTGGCCTCCTAGGAGCTAGGAAGAGGCAGGAGGGCAGAGATATGGCTGCCTTTTCCCTCCCCAGAGAGCAGCTCCCACTCCTTTATCACTTTGGCCCCGATATTTGGAATTATTTTTAATCCCTCATAGGAAACCATGAAAATATCTATCTATTAGCTCCTGCTCACAGTCCCTTTTTAAACCTTTCTAAACCCTGTGAGCTTTTCTTCCTGGGAACAAAGTAGGTGGTGGAAAAAGGGAGCAGAAGCTTCCTCCTGAGAGTTGTTGATTCTCTGGCAACTACTGGTTCCCACGTGAGAGTCCCAGGTATCTGTTTGTAGACACCTCCCAGTTTCAGCAGCAAGTATGCTCCACAAGTCCATTTGTGAGTCAGTTCGGTGTTCACCCCATTCTTATACAGGAACAAGGTCATAAATGGTGGCAAATTTCCCAGTCTAGCCTAGGTAAGCAAGAAGGTACCTACAGTATTGATCTATGGGACCTAACCCAGGT